ACATCGAGAGACAGGAATAGGGAGCTGCCACCTGTCAGGCCCATGGTTATCAGGCTTGGACTCACCTGAGCATCCAAGATGGGAAGGACTCTGACCTGACATGTGACTCCAGCTAGAAGCCCCCAATCCCAAGCCCAAAGCCAAGAGTGGGCATGTTCCAAGGTCAGCCTGTGACTTTCTCAGCCCAGGGGCCCGAGCCCAGGCCCCTGGGAACCCCAGAAAGGGCCAGGTCTGCAGAAGTAGCCCTTAGCATCTGAGCCTCCAGATTGGAGCAGGGAGTCCCCTGGTTCTGGGGTTCCAGGCCCAGGTCCACTCCTAACATTTGTGCAGTGAGAGGCAGGACCAGGAGGTGTCTAGGTTTAAGGGTGCTGTTCACCTATGTGGAGGCTTCGGGCCATTGAGAAAGACCTCCCTCCGGGCGAATGCAGCCTTGAAGTGCCACCTTGCTGCTAAGGAAAAGGGGCTTCTTTCTGGGGTAGACACAGCCCTGGGGCATATGAGAACTCAGGGCTTGGTGACCAGGGCACTGGGAGGGTTTCAGTCCCCTGCCCTCGGCTGAGCACCTGAGCCCTGGCTGGATCCGAGTTGCCAGCGTGGTACTTTCTGGGTTTGTGGCCTAGGAAGGAAAGTTAAGACAGCTCAGAATGACACTGTCTCAGGCTGCCCCATGGTGGCCACTCTCTGCATGACACTCACAGCTCTGATGAGCTTGGCTTGGCCTCTGGACCTTGCCTCCTGCCTGCACGGATCCTGAGGTCCTCTGAGTCCTGTCAGGAAGCAGCCGCTGTGAAGCATGGGTATTTCATTGTTTCGGAGCTGAGGATTGAACCCAGGGCCTCATGCTTGCTAAGCAAGTTCTTTACCACTGAGCCTCATCTCCAGCTGTGGGCCAGGCTTTTTAGGGATGGGCTCAGTGGGTCTCTTTCCTTCAGAGGCTGGGGGCTTCCCCAGGGTGGGCACTGGTCTCCCCAGTATCCCAGGGCCCAGTCCAGTGATTGTGTCTTTTCCAGCAAACTTGGAGATCCCTGGGGGCGCTGTCTCCTGCATCACACTAAGTTGATTTTCTCTCTGTCCTCCTAGTCCAGCGGGCTTCTGGGGGTGAAGGTGGAGACCATCTGACCTGCAAGTCTGGTTGGCAGGCCTCAGGCCTGAGCTGGGAGCTGACAGTAGGCACATCCTGAGGCCAGCCTGGAGCCTTCCTTCTCAGGCCTCCTGGAGAGCAATTGAACTCTGGTCCCCAGGACCCCCAGGCAGGGCCAGGCCACCAGAAAAACAGAGAAGTCCACCCGGAAACCCCCACAGGCCCCGCCCCCAGAGACAGGGGGCTTCACATCATGGGGCTTCCTGGGGCTCCGTGACAGCCACAGCCTGTCCCCAGGTTCCTCCCTCCTCCCACCTCCAGCCACTGCCTGAGCTGGTCTCTGCCTGAGGTCCTGTCCCTGCTGGTCCAAGTCTCGCTCATCCTTCAGCTCTGTGCCACCACCCCGGATGCTCCCCACCTGGGAAGGTCAGGGCTTTCCTGTGCTCTCGGGGGCTCTTCCCAGGCACTTCCAGGGCTGTGGTCTCTGTGCATGCTGGTCATCACGGGACCGACGGCAGCCTCCTCCATCAGAACCTTAAACTCCAGGGAGCGGGGACCTGTGTGCCGCACCCACGGGGCTGCCTCAGCACCAGACAGGACTCTGCTCGTGATGCCCAGGGAACTTCTGCTTCTTGAATGAAAGGCTGAGTCAGTCTGGGCCGGAGCCACTGTCCAGATGGGGGCCTGGGCCAGTCTGTCAACACACACCTCCCGAGCAGCTGCTACGGATGGTCCAGCCTCAGGGTCCAAACCCAGGGGCCAGGCGCCCAGCCACTCTTCCTGCTGGTCAAGCTCTGTCTTTTCTAAGGGATGCCTGAGCCCCAGGAAGGCCAGCCCCTGTCCACCGCCTCAGCCTCTCCCACTAGTCCCCCATATATCACCTGTGCCAGTCCCCTGAATGTCCCCAAACATCTCTGCCTCCAAACCTTGGTTTGGAGCTCTCCACCGTCTCTGCCTGGCAACATCCACCCCACCTTTAACATCCTGGTGCAGGATCACAGTAGCCTTGAAACCGTCCGTTTCAAGGCCTTGGCAGAAGCCACTCACGTACTCAGAGGGAGGTAATAGCACACACACTGACCCCGAGTTATTTACATACATGGTCCCCACACGCCCCCAGGGCTGCCCGGCAGCCGCTGGTCTGATCTGGTGCTGTGGGGCTCCCACTGGTGCATGTCCCTCTGGTCAAGGCTGCAGCACCTCCCCTTCACGCTCCAGCACCCAGAGCAGCCGGGGACTCAGGGCTGATGAGCGTCCGCTGATGAACAGGAGCAAGTGGGACACACGTGGGAGGGGGGCCTCCCTGGATCCCCAAAACCATGACAGGAGAGGGGGTTGAGGTGTGAAGGGCACGGCCTGGTGGTCCTTCCCAGGAGTGACTGTGGCAAGGAGGGGACTGGGGTGAGCAGTGGACGGTCACAGGGCAGATGGGCCGTGGGCTGAGCTGGGAAGGACAGCCCGCCCCAGGGAGGACAGCACGCATCTTGGAGCTGTCTGGACTTCGTCC